AAACAAACGTGTGGGGAAAAATATTGTTTGCTTTTTGCCAAACCAATATATTAATCTGCCCCGTTAGTGAAGTTTCTTGGCCCCACCGCTGACTGCAGTTTCACAAGTGTCATCTGTGTTTTTCAGTTCTTCCATGTATAAAGAATCCAACAGCAGTTTCCTTCAAGGTTCAGTAAGTCCTAATGTTTCAGGGGCTGTAGCCACAAGATTTGGCAAACCATTCACTTGTCATGTTAATAAAAAGGAATTGTTTCTGCCTCTTTCAGCTAGTAGCTAAATGAAGGAGTTGGTTCAGCTGCATTTTGATCATAAAGTCCGGATTCTCCTTGCTTGCAAGTGAATACCTCCGTGGGTTTGGGGATTTTCATCCGGTTTAATTTTATTTAGAAGAAGAAGCTGAGCTTTTTCTGTTCTACCTGTTCTGGAATTTGCGTGCTTGTTATGCTGTTCAAACCTAATCGATTATCTTGATCTTAAAAAGAAAATTGAACCTTTCTGTATTTTTGATTTCCCATGTGCATTTCCATTGAATAAGGGGGGGGGGGGAGTTTAAACTCCTTAAGTTCTTTTTTTAAATGGATGGCATGGTAGTGTCAAGGGCTATTTCATAGCTGTTAAAATCTTACACCTTTTAAAAGTTACATTTTTAATGTGTTTTGTTTTTCACTTTATACGCAACAGCAAGAGAAGCAATAGCAGCGTATTTCTTGATCGTGCTGTTTCAACAGTCCAGACGCCTTATACTTGTTGCTGCGTATTCTGTAGCTCCAAATGCTTGGACTTATAGTTTAATTGCCACGTTCCTTAGCCTGAAAGTGTTGAAACTTAGAACAAACTGCCTGTAATGTAGACTGGAGTGCTTGCCTGATTACTTTTGCTCCAACACAGAGATTATGAGGAATTAGATCAGATTAATGTTTATACTATCTGTAGAATGAAATAACACAGGACAGATAATATTCGTTCTTGAAAACAGCTTTTACCCACTCTTTATTATCTCTGTTTTAATTTTAAGAAGGTATCGCCCGTGACAAACCCTGAATAATGTTGGCCTTAATCCTGACCACTGTAGTGCAGAAACCTTCTGTAAAACACTGTAAGTCTCAGTGTAACTTAGCAAAAAGTCCTGTCCCTTCCACATACCCTGATTCTCTGTATCCATATAAAGACAGACAGAACTTTCCTTTTTTTTTCCTTTTTTGCCTTGCCTTCCACTCTTGGGGGATGGGGCAGTGTAGGCAGTCACGGGAAGCCAAGTCATGTGCTGCTTCAGGAACTAAGAAAGTTAAAAGTAAAAATCATCAGATCCGCAGCTCTGGTAAGTGACTTGAGTTCACATGGAGCGACTTTGGTCAGAAGTTCAGCCGCGATGTAACCACAGGTTTGCTAAACCTGGCCGTTGCTCTCTTCGAGGTCCCTGCCAGAGTGTAAAGGAAAACTCGTAGGACAAGACACTGCCCGCCTGAAGCGTAACGGTATTTTGCCTGTCAGGTAGTTCCGTTGAAATGAACAGAAAATATCGAAATAGGAAGGGCTGAAAATGAGCAAATGGGGCAGATGATGAATCCCTCAAAAATGCCCCGGGGTGGGCCTGGCTCCGGGAGCCAAACGGGAATTCCCGGTGCCGCCAAGGTTTGCGCTCAGCACAGCGCTTTGTAAGCAGCCCGGCAACGCGCGCTGTTTCTGCGAGGGCATAAAAGGTGCGAGAGCTGTAATTTATTTTCTAATAAATTCTTCTGCTGAGCAAACAGTGAACGTAGCTATTAGAGATCTTCTGAAATAAGTGACTTCAGACTGCCGAGTGCCAGCTACTGATGTGGTAGTTGAGCTTTGAAAACGAAAAGGCTGAATGCCGTTTGAAAGATTCCTCTGAATGCTGTTGACACTTGTGCTAGGAAAGAATATAGAGTAATTTAATTCATTACCATACTTTAGGATAACATTTATGGGTGCAACATTAGCCTCGGCGGATGCTCAGAATGCTGGGCTGGAGATGTTTTGTTTCAAGTTTTTTGGAGAGCCCTCATCCTTTTATTAGGTGTGTGGAAAGAGATGTGGAAAAACTAGGCAGAAAATGTACGAGTGAAAAGAGAGTTCAGTAGCCATCAGCTGCTATATTTGAATGCAAGGACAAAGGGACGATTTTGCCTTTGGCTACAGTTTGACACTTCTACTGGATTCGGTCAGAAGTATCCGTGCGTGTTGAAGGGCAGAAATATCATTTCTATGGTGTTCTATATCCTCGGTCGCTATTTGTCATTGACTGCATATGCCAGTGCTACGATAGATCTTTTAATCCTGACCCCAGCAGAAACGGCATGCAAATACCGCTACTAATACTCATATCTGTTTTAAACACAGGATTGTCTTAAGTCCCTGCACCTCATTTTTCAGGCACCGTCCTGCCTTCTAGTCCAAATTTGTTTTTGCTGTCTTGCCAGCAGCCTTACACCGGGCCGAAGGTGCTCTTCTGCCTTACTGCTCTTAGCCGCTTCTCACTCAGGGTTTACAATTCCCATTTGCGGGTGTGTGTACTAAGGAGACTTCCGTAAGGTTTAAAAGTTGTTATAGGTGTGTGCAGAGCAGACTTACATGAGCTGTGCTCATCCATTTCCCCACCCTTGGCTTCCTTAACTTGCCCCTGTGATCTTCAGACGTAGTTGAGGGTCCTTTGGTGGGTCCAGACCCACCCTCGTGCTTCTGACTCCTCGACGCCCATCTTTCTTCTGCATCACAGAGCCTATTGCTTTTCCTTGCAGCCAGGCTTCTTCCTTGGCTGAACCCATGACTGAAAAGTGACCCTTCTGCTCCAAAAAGCATGGCACTTTTTTCCCCTCTCCCAGTCAGAGATTTTAGTGCTTCTGAGTCCATCAGTCATCTCAGGTCATGCAGCTTCTAAGGCCTTTGGCTGATATCTGACACTAGCGTTGTCCTGCTGGGAATGAAAGGCAGGAATTTTACTGTTCCCCAGAATCCTGCTCCATAGAGAAGCTGAAGAAAGCTGCGGTCGCTTAAGCTGTAACCGTCGTGTTGGAATGGGACTCTCCCAGGCTCCGACCCAAGCGGCCTGTGACATAATCCAGACGTCACGCAGTGGCTCCGTATAACCTGAAGCACTCACATATAAATTCAACCTGAATACATAAGCTTGCATAAAGAGGATCCTTAAACTATCATGGCTAAAAATATTTGTAAAGCACTGGGAAATAACGTTTTGGTGGTTTAGGATGCTCTCTTCTGTTGTACTGTCTGTTACAGATGCATAATGGGGTCATTTGCATGTTCTCATGGACATCTTTTCCATGTGAAATACTTTAATTTCCATTTGCAGTTTAACAGGAAGGAATGGAATTTTTGGGTTGGCATCTAAGACAAAAGGTGGTGTTTCAAAACTAGGCTAGAGAGATCTAGAAAGTTATCGTAGGCTCGTATGAACCTGGTCAGGTTAGTCTCTTGATTAGGTCCTGCACACTTAGAGTCCTTATTTGCCTGAAGAGCGATTGTTCAACTCAGTAACTAACGTGTATTATTTATTATTAATTCAAAACATCTTGTGCATGATTTCTTTCCAGTGTAAGAGCACATTAGCTTCTTCTGCACAAGAAAACACATGTTAATCTGTTTTCCATTATTGTCCAAAAGATTTTTCAAAAGGCAATTCATGTTGCCTCGACAACATTAAAGGCTATAATTAAAAATAATTTTCCATTAATTTATATACATACCCATTTATTTATTATGATCTTTTATTCCATTTCCCTAAGTGTGCGTGCAAAAACCTAAAATGCTGTTGACGAGTCAGTCAGTATCCAGTGTAACAGTCCAATGTCAAGTATGCCAGTACCCGGTTGTACCTCAATTAGCCCTCTTTCGCAGCAAACACCTGCCTAGAAAAATGGATCTTCTGTGGGATCTGCAAGAAAAGAAAAGCTGACTTTTGTGCATTGGCAGAAGGGAATCCCAGTATTTCACAGCTTTTACTGATAATGATCTGCTACAGATTAAAAACAAAAAACACACATTATGGTGTTGGCAGATTGCAAAAGGACTTGCTGGTTAAAGCTGCTGTTGAGAGGAGATGAGGATGGTGTTTATTGCATCCATATGGTCTAGAGATGTAAGACAGGCAAAGTGTCTAGGGAGCAGTAATATGTCTTACTGTACTGATTCAGAACATACTTTTAGGTATATAGACCCTTTTTCTGATGTCTTTCATAGATGAGAGTATGGCTGTGAAGTATTTGCCTGTAATTCAGCATGACGATAAAAGAGATTGCTTGAAGATCCGATCCATTTGTGTGAGCAAAGCCTTAGAAATGCTGGGGTTCTTACAGGGTCTCAGCTAGTAGCTGGCACCTAACACACATATATGATGGATCTATCTTTCCTTAACCGTTTGTATAGTTTTCAATCCTTTGACTTGCCTATTCAGCTTTGTAAAGTATACTAAGAGCCTGAGTCTAAGTTTAGTTATGTCCTTAAAAGTTATGTCCAAAAACCCTCTTCTGCATAATTTAAATTCAAATTTCTCTTTTTCTTTAACCTCATGATTTCTTTTGGGAGAATTTAGAACCAAACTTCTAGACACACTAAAACAGGCAACTTTTGTGTTCACGTATACAAGTAGATTGCAGAATTGCAGTCTTTGACTTCTTTGTAACTATCACTTGTGAAGCACCTTGTGAATTACCTCCTTGTGAAGAAGGATGACACAGTCCTCCTGCAGAAGGTCTGGGATTAAGATCTTCAAAGACCTATTTTAAATAGTCTCAGTTACTGATATGCTGCTGTGTTGCAGAAAGGGAACAGGCAAAGGAATTGGAGACTTAACAAACCAGTCACCACAGCTGAAACCCAAAAGTCGATCCTGATTCCTTTTAAAATAACATTGAAAATTGGTGTTGTCTGTATGAATGTTACAATTATACAATGCATTGAACTCCTATAGCAGGCGTTGTTCACCATGTGGTAACGGTGCTTATGCTCTCTTGTTCTCCTAGGGCTGATGAAATTGAGATGATCATGACAGACCTCGAAAGAGCAAATCAGGTAGGATTTTAAGTGAATTTCTCATAAAATTCTGAGTATGACTGATTATTTTTTTCCTCATCTTTTGGATTTCGTGACAGTTTGTTTATATGCACTTAGCAATCTTAACTGTGTAGAGTAACCGCACTTCTGGCTCACGCTGCTGCCCTTCTTTCTTTTCCTCACCCTTCCTTCACTAGCGAAGGAGTAACAGTGGTAGCAGGGCAGCCACGCTGACCGAGGAGGTCTGACCTAGCGCTGCACCTACAGCGCTTGTAGCTAGTGGAGTTGGAGAAGGTGAGAAGAGCTGGTCCCTGACCTGGTGCCAGGCCTCACCTTTGGGACTGTCTCACCTGGCTGGAGATTGCTGCTCTGACTTGTCTCAAGGCAAAACTGCTGGTGATTTTCTGATGTGTTTTCTTGACATGTTAATTTTTAGCAAGGGTTGAATCAGACTGTGTCACGCAAGCTAACAAAGAAACTGTAGTTTGCTCCTGTGGATACTAATTTGGTAAATTGTCCCTGAAAGTCCTCTCCTGCGTTCCCTAGCAGAACACACATTCCTGAGAAAGCAAAACATCATGTGAAACTTTAAAAGCCAAAGTTTTAAAAAACCCACCTAAACAAACGGCTCTTTTGGTCCGTTCTATACACTGAATGACTGTTTGAGGTGATCGGGAGGGTGCGTTGGACATGCAGAGCTGCCGGGTGATGTATGGGGAACTGGGGATTGTTTTATAGAGAGGAAACCTCAGCTGGGCATTTTTTTTTTAATCAGTGAGTTACATTAATCCTACAATAATCTGTCCGGTAAGATCGAAATTAGGAATTTTAAGGGTCACAGGTGCCCATCCCACCCTTCCTCCGTGCTGGGTGCAGCCACCCAACATCCAATGGAGGGACGGGTAGCTGCTGGTGAGGATGAAGAGTAATGTCCCTTTCGAAAAGATCCCCTATTTAGATCAATTCACCGGTCCTGAATCTTAGCCTCTCTTTTTATTCCAAACCATGGCCTGCGAAATGTCTTGTTCTACGTGACTGGATAATCAGAGCAGGTATACTGTCATTTACATTAGTTCTTTATATATTGGAAAAATATTGATGAAGCAGAAGGCAGATTTGTAAGTTGCTGTGTTTATTATGTAGTCAGTAAAAGAAAATGGGTTTTGCACAGTGGGATTTTTGGTTCTGTCAAAAAGAACTTCTTTAGTAGCTAGAGCATTAAGTATTTATAAGAGTGCTAATAAGTATTTGAAAATCTGTAGTCTTTTTAGACATTTTGTAGGTGTAAAAGATGTTTTGGTAAAATTGTTTTGTAATTTTTCCAAAAGTGGTATGTTTTTTAAAGTTTTAGCAATGACTAGATTTACTGAGTTTGGTTTTTTTAGGTAGTGATGATGAAAGAAATGTCTTCGTTATTAAAGAACAGATATTTCTTATTTCCTTACTGGCATACTAAAATGGAATATATCCATCTATACAGAAATGATAAAGATATTTTCAGAAAATAGTTTCCATCTTACTGGAACAAACCAGCAATGTGGTTTTTTGACTTTCCTGGGATTTTTTGAATGAGTCAAGGTTTAAAGCTGCTTATGTGCATAATCCTTATTTTGGTTGTAATTTAGCAAACTCTGGATCTGTACATATCCCAGTGTGCAATTCCTCTGAGCTGCTCTGAGGGCTCACAGCTGCCGGAAGAGGCGATGCTACATCCTCTTCCCCATTTCTCCCCTATCTCCTTCCTGCTCCTGGCCGTTGTGGTCCTACCCCCTCCCTCATGCCAACTTTGGCAATTGTGGGACCTTTCCCTGCAGCAGTTCAGCTCACTGACCCTGCAGAAGAGCGTGGGCTTGAGGTGGTGAGGGACAAGTTAATTCTTTGTGGATTTTTTCTGTTCTTGGAAAAGGGAGGAAGCGGAAAATTCAGTGGTGGAAGAACCAGACTGCCCCTTTTAGCAGCACCAGGCTTAATGCTTAATGAGAAAGCGTTGCAAGAGATTTAGTTGAGCCGTGCCTGTAGTCCTTGCCTCATGTAATGATTTACTTTTCTAAAACACTGTTAACAAATGATAACTAAGTAATTTTTGTAGCAGCATTTCTTGCAGTTTGCCTTACTTTATGACTGAAAGAGATTGGAAGAAATTAAATCCATTGCATAGGCCAAAAAGTGAGTTTGCATCAGACTTAAGTGTTAAAATTGCAGAAACAAGTATTTAACATAATTATGTATTTAATAGTTAGACTAACATTTCCTTTTACCATTCCAGTAAGTACTTTTTCCCTGCTATTAAGGCTACCTTTAAGGAGTAATGCTCAGCATGATTCCTCCTTTGAGGATAAATAAACTAACCTGCTGATTTTGATGTGTTGTTTTGCTGTTCCAGAATTAGCACTGACCCAAACTGGGCTGTATTTCAGAGGAGAAATTCATGGAACAGCAAACATGCTTCTGCTGAAAATATGGAATATATTTGCTTGAAATTTTTAAATGTCTGATATTTCTTGAAAATCCCTTTCTCCTTTCTTGCCCTTCTTAAACCCAGGGTTGCACATTTCTGAACTTCCCTTGCTTTACTTGGTGACACACTTCTAATTCTGAAGAGAGGTGGGAAATGCTGTTTCCTTCTCCGATTTGAGGTCTGTGTGGTGACGAGAGGGTGGATGTATTCTTGATGCTCATCTGGTTTTCTGGGTAGGGAAGCTAGGGAGGCCGAGCGATGCTGTGATTCCCACCCTCGTGTCCAGCCGGGCGAAGCATGCCAGCTCTGTGGATCATCCTTTTAGCTCCTGACTCCGTCATCTCTCTTGTCCCACCATTTTTTCCTCGTTTGGCTCCTCCAAATTGTTTCATGCAGGAGCTCTCTGGGCTTTTTTGAGGGCTCCCGCTGCGCTATTGTCCCCAGAAGAAATGACTGACTCTTAGACGTAATTACCTTTAAATACCAGTGAGCGTTGTGATTTTCTGCTCGGAGAGAAAAAGGAGCAGTGACCACAAAGTTCGGATTTCTCTTTATTGTCTTGTTAACTCAAGATATGATGGGAATTTTCCCCAAACTATAACCTTGACCAAAGAGCAATAAATGGCTGGTGTAAACGGAGAGGTCGAGGTGGCCAGTGGGGGCCGCGTGCCAGGAATACCAGAGCTGGGATGATGATCAAAGGTAATGAGAATGAAAAATGAGACAAAATTGTAAAGACTTAAGACTTTGAAGACTTCCGACTTTAAATTTTAAAGACTTGAGAGGTGTAAACCAGTACGGACATACAGGGCAGAGTAGTACGTGAAGATGGCTGGCCTACTAACGTCTCCCACAAGAGGAGCCATTAAACAGCTCTGTAACATGTGGGTTCAGCGGGTTGGGAAGCCTGAAGGGTTTTACTGGTATAGCCCCCGCTTGCTTTAGCAATAAAATGCTCCTGTATCAGCCACAAGATAAAGGCAGTGTCAGTGGCAGCAGTGGAGTAGGTGTTCGCTCTGTTTTTCTCTTAATGCCCAAGGTTGTGTTACTTGTTTGGTTTGGTGTCAGTAAAGGACCGAAATTAAAATACAGCCAAATGCAATAGGAACTGCTTATTTTCACTTTACTAACTTGAAAGCTCAATAACAAAAGTACCTAAGAGTTTACACTCACATTTCCATGAAGATTTAATCATCTGGTAGTTTGAGGAAGGGACTTGTTTTATTAAGATTTCATTTTGCACAATAAATCACTGCATATTTTCTGATACGCTACGAAGTATAATAATAAATAATTAAAACTAAACTACCCTTACTTGTCAAAATAAATGATTTATCATAGTTTGGGATACAGCATGTTTGAATTTTTTATTGTTTGATTCCCAGAATATTATCATTTCCAATCAGTGATGCTAATGAAGCTCCAGTGTACTTTGCAGCACGTACAACAGTTAGCCTGTGTGTGTGTGAATATATATTTTATATAAATACTTATAGTTGGCTATTTTCTGTACCTTTGCAAGTTTACACCTTTTTCGTAAGCGTTTATGGCAGTAAGTCACAAACAGTGGAGATGATAAATTTGTTCAAATGAATTATCCTTCTGTATCTATATTTTATCTAGCAGCCTTGAGTCGCCCAGTTGTGCGCTGAGGTTTCTGTTGAAAACTATCATTCGTATTTTGTGAAAACAGAAATACTTTAGAGTATTTAAGAGAAACAAACAAACCTTATTTTCAGGTTGTGATACTGAGTCTAAGTTGTTGCACATGAATCATTTTATCAACCTGTGTTTTTACATTATTGATGTATCCGGATCCATTTTACTGAATTTATATGTTCAGATTGAAAAAAGAAAAGTTTAATGGACTTTGTAATTCGGGCTTCTTGGAAACAGATGTTTTTTCAGCTTTAGAAAATACAGAGAAGAACTTCAGTTAGGGTTGATTGACACTGGATTATTACATTTTAATGCATAGGAGAAGGAAATAGATTTGAAAAATAAACTCAGATATAGACATCCTTAGATTTTGGAGGTAACAGCAGAAAAAGAGCATGGGGTATTTTTTCTGTAGACTATATTGTGAAAGCTCTAGAAAATACATAATTCATGTTTTTTTTTTTTTCTTCTTCTGTGTCTATGCCACGTTATACATTTGGAAAAGCAAAATGTTTCCCTTGGTTTTCTTTCCATCATAACAGTGCTGATAGTGGTCCCAAATTTCTACTTCATATTTTGGGGCGGGAAGCAAAATATAGCAACTTCTGTTACTAATAAAACAAGAAAAGAAGAGATATTCTTTCTAGAACACAGGAGAGTTTCTTAAAGAATCTAGGCTGGGTCAGCACCATATACTCCGAAGAAATGTAGTGTTAGAGATTTTGAGCTCTGTAGAGGAAGACCTAATGAGTTTATGCGTTTTTGAACCAAACCACCACTAAAATAACACAAATATACATAATAATAATATACATAATAATAATAATACATGAAACAGTATCCGCTGTAGAAGCAAAGACAGAAGCTCATTAGATTGCCTTAGTTGAAATGCTGTTCTCAA